GATCAGAGAGCCGAGACCGACAAGGACATTGCTGTCCGTTGGGATGGTACCAAGGGGTCAGCAGAGTCAGTAAGATTTGGGAGTTTCCGAAAATTAGGGGTACCTTATTTTGGGGTCCTATATTAGGGTCCCCTATTTTCGGAAACCCCCATTTCGGTGAAATCACCATGAGGTTTAGCTTCTCAGAGTCGTCGGATCGGCAACCTCATAGCGATCAAGAGTTCCAGTCATGAAGGGATTGATTGGCTGCTCGGAGTGTGAAGTTTGAAACCCAAACCCCTTGAGCTCTTTCCATGATTCTTTCGATGATTAGATGACAAGCAGCACTGGTCCTTAAGGAGTGTTGTGCATGGTTACAAAGACGTGGTAATTCATCCAAAGGGACGACCAAACCTATAAACAACCCAGGAGGATATGGACCTGAACAGCGCGGACTCGCCCAGGCTGGTTCACCGGCCTCCAGAAAATCCATAGTAGCCATTACCCATAGGCCCTAAAGTAGTCCCTTTTTGGGGCTCATATATAGAATCCTATAAGGTAATCCCAAAAAGGAACTACTATGGGGGCCTATGGGTAGCTGCTTTAGAGTGGAGGCATGTAAGAAGACAGCGGAGTGGGCCGGGGAGATGCTCGGTGCTTTTTTTTGCTCAGTTTAAGCCAGACCCTGGGGCTCCAAATAGCCCAATGTAGGTACTATTTACACACTTTAGACCCCAAAGTAGGTACTATTTGTATACTTGGAGCCCTAGGGAGAGTTCTGAATGCCTGACGCCTTTTTTTGAGATGTGCAAAGCAGGGCTTCTCAGCCTTGATCTGGCAGCATGATGGCATGAGTAGGAAGTCTGCATGTAGTGCCTCCCAAGTACCCTCCCAGCACCCGCGAAACGTTCGGACCTTCAGGATTCTTGCGGACGGCCTTGTGGGCAGCATCCTTGAGGCCTCAGAAGTGCCGCTTCTCAGTTTCTGCCTCGCGCCACTGAACCCTGACTGGCAACTCATTGTTCGCCGTCACGTTTGGGCCCAGGGCAGGTTGCTATGTTGTGACCCGGAGCCACTAAGAGCCCGGCGTCGCCCAACGCAACGTAATTTATCTATGGAGGCTGCGCAAGACAGCATCCGAATTCAGTGCGGCGCAATGCCTGACGCAGAGAGCCCTGCCTCTGGTACTGGTAGCGTTGCTGCCGTGGTGCATCTTTCTTGTTCCAGGGCTGTGGACGTGGCCGTGGACTCGACTTCCACTGCCGGTGCCCTGGACCCTAAATCCTAAACCCTAAACCCTAAAGCTACAGCTATTGATTGCAGCTTCGACACGTCTGCAACCCCGGTTCTCGCACCTGCCTGCAGGTGATGTTATCAATGCAGTGCAGGCGTGTCTGGTCAAGAATTCGGGTGCAACTGGTCGGCTCATCTTTCCACGTTCTCCTTGATCTTGAAGTGCTAAGGAAGACTCCTGAAGACCCTCAGCATGGGAACATTTTGCTGTCACGTGGGCCAGAAAAGTTTGCGGCCACGGACAAGGTTCTGCCGGAGTCGGAGAGCGAGCCTGGCCAAGCGTTCTCCTGTCTTGCAGTAATATAGGGGCCTTAAAAACTAGAATAGGGTTTTGGGGTCCATTGTAGTAATTATTAAGCCCGTACATTATGGTTGGGCGCTTAGCATGGTTTAGGGTTCACTCAGGCAGTGGTTCATGTGCTGTCGCTGGAGCAGCTGAGGTGGGCCCTGGCAAACTATGGGCACTTACATTCAGCACGAAGTCCGCTTCATCATATCCCGACCGAACGCAGCGGCATCACCATTCCACAAATTCAGGCCTTCCACCCGGAGCGTTTGGTTCACGCAATTGTGGCTGCAAGATACTTGGTAGATCGGAAGCCACAAAACACTAAACCCTAGCGGCCCTAGCGTTGACAGCCTGGTCGGCACAAGTGTCTGGCTGCATACTGAATGTTGAGCAACGCCTCCCGACGAGGCCCTGCTGGGCTTCATGCAAAGTGCGGTCCTCAATTTTGAAGTCTCTCATTCCTGGCATGTTGCTCGAGTCATGAATGTTGTGCAGATAGTCATGTATAAGTCCCTCTTTACCCGCAGGCAAAACGCTACAGGTTCCAGGCTTGCGGCGGATGCTTTCCCTGGATAGTGCAAGGTATGGTGAATTTTTGGGCCGGTACTTTTGGGGCGGAGCGTGCACGACCTCTGTCTTTCGAGCAATTCAACTTGTGCCTTGCTCAAACTGTTTGAAAATGTGGAGCTGGCGTAGGCGTGCGTTTAGTTCAGGTATCATGCGGACTACTGGATCCTGCGGCCCGCAACTGCAGGAGAACTCGGAAAGTGCAGGAAGATGCACGCAGCAAGAGAACCCCCATGAACGCAGGAAAAGGCGGGATCGGCTGCAGCTACGTGGAGTCCCTTGGCAAGTGGCGTTTAGCAGCATCTCTTGTTTGTAGGTTAGCAAGTGCACGTGATCTTGCGATGTCTTCTTGAGGTTGGTGGCAGAGAGCGCAGAGGCACAACAACCTACCTGGTTTGTGTCACATGCTTGGGTGGAACCGATCGTGCCCTGCTCGGTTTACTGTGCTCACGGCTGATGCATCTTATTTCGCTTCAGTTGCAACCCGAGTTTCTTCGGAGAGAGGCTTGAACCATTCTCGCAGTGCTCCGCGGGCCCAGGTGCTGTTCCTGCGATGCTTGCGCCGCCACGCCGACGTGCGAGATTTGAAAGGAGAGTCTGTCTACTGGGTCTGTGCCTATGCCAACAACCAGCATGCACCTCGGCGTTCCTGAGCCTTCAGCCTGAAGATCCGTGCAAGCCCTACCAAGGCACTGTGCGATGCCATCCCCCCAGGCAGGGTGCATCGCGACAGTGTTGTTGTGCTCAGTTTTTCAACATGAAGACGGCATGCTCATCCCCAAAATTGACACGACAGGCTCCCGACCCTAAACGACCCTAAACCGTAAACCAAAGCCCCAAGCTCTACAAACAACAAACCCCAAAGCCCCCAACAAAGCTGACTACAGCAGATCCTCGGAAATCGTCATTTTACTTGGCGATGATGCTCTGCCACGGGGTGCTGCTGGTACTGGATGCCGCAGCCACACCCTTCCAGCGAATTTGGTGCCGCCCGGCTCTGTCTTTCTGGGCGCTTACTGTTGGGGCCTTACTATTTCGAATAGGGTTTCGGGGGATATGATATCACAAGGAGGAATAAGGAGCTGCTAAAACAGTATTGGTAACTATTCTGGCTTCTATGGTGATCCCTAAACCCTAAACCCTAATTAAACCCTAAGCCCTAAACCCTAATAGTAATGAAGTTTTGGTGTTGCATGAGCTTTGCCCTGAGCCGCCAGCTCCCTGAGGCTGTTTCGAGGAGACAATCGCTGTGGCCCAGCTCATGTGGGTTTAGGGTTTTGGGTTTAGGGTAATGCAGGACTTATGAGACCTCGTTCAAAAAAGGGGAGTACCAGACCATCTGGAAGCCTTTCTGCGGCCTTTGCGAGTTTACATGTCCTTAGACCCTAATTTAGAGAATCCCTGTCATGGCTGAGGTGGAACACTCCTCCAAGCTTTATTTGGACGTGGCCGCAACAGCCGGTGATGTGGCCTGCCTCGTGACGGACACGGCTGTCAACCAAATATTCGTGCACGCGTGTGTAGACATGACTAGACTCTTCGCAGACACAGCCCCCACTCAATAATTGCGCATGTTTGCACAGTGCTGGCTTTTCTCTTGCAGGATGGTGTTGCAGGGAGAGAGGCCAAGCTGCTGCCCATTCTGGGCCTTCTTGAGAAAGCGCGGCGAGAAGAGGCTTTCCCAGCAGAGCTGCTACAACGAGGACTGGCAGTGAGCATCGAGCTTGCGCAGGCTTCCCAGGATCAGGACAAGATACGGATCTTGAATAGCATCGCTTGTCCTCGGGCAGTGACGCGGATCCTGGATGAGCTCCCACCGGAGAATCACGCTAGCTACAGCGTGGTGAACCGAGCGCTTGCAAGCCACTTTGCGGTGAGCGGCCTCTACGCATGCCATGCTCAGAACCGGGATGCAAGTGCGCTCTTGGCTGCACTCTGTGCAGACACCGAGCGCTTGACAGTGCAGCTCTCACTCACTGGCTGCAAGCACTTCAGAGATGCAGAGCAGCGAGCTCTGATGGCTCACCTGCCGACAGCACTTCAGAGCCTTCGCCTGGATCTTGGCCACACAGGGCTTGAAAGTTTCCAAGCCAATGAGGGCCTTTGCCCGCAGCTGCGGATCCTGCAGCTTCGATTCTCGGGACCATACCTGAGAGAAGCCAAAGGCATAGCGCCTCTACTTGGGGCCCCAACCCTGCGCGATCTGGAGCTCTGGTTTACAAGCCTTCCCCTGCTTGAAGACCTCCATTTCACCGAAGCCCTGCTACTTGCCTTCGCGAGATCCCAGGTCCCGTTTGAGTTTAAACAATCCTTGAAATTGAAGACGCCTGAAGAAGCTGGCCCCAGGCTAAAACTCCACTTGGAGACCTTATCTCTCGACGTCCAAGGCTGTCCCAAGGCCTCATTGCATCTCGTCTTGTTTGCCTCGCGCACGATTTCCTGTTGGTTCGGCTCTGCCAGGTACCCTTGACTTCCAAGCAAGCATTGCGCCTTGGCAGTGTTAACTTGCCGTAGCGGTGGGCCTTTGCCCATGCCGCGTAATCAACTTATCTCACTTAATTAGCAGTGGGCGGCCTTCGAAAGACAGGCACAGCGCCGGGCGAAAGCTCCAGAGACATGACAGCGAGCTGCAGATGTGGCTTTGCATCGAGGAGCTGGGACTCTGCGGGCAGAGCAAATCCCAACGACGCGTCGCTCGCGTGGTTCGCTTCGCGGGGTCGCTGCACACCGACTCTCTGCAGTGTTGCGAGGATGTAGCTTCGTGGATGCAGCAGCTGCGGACGGCAATCGAGTCCAAGGCTTTTAGCTTTACTTGTGCGGCAGCGCCAGTGCCGGAGCCGCAACCAGTGCCCCTGCGAAGCCGCGAGGTGCCAGAGAAGTGTGCCCGAAAGCTGATCGGCTGCCGAGGCTTCGGAATGCTTTGGGCTCCCAAGCTGCCTTTGCTCTCTTCTGACTCCTCTGTGCGTGGAGGCTCTTCAAAACCCAGCGCGCGGCGAAGCACGGTCCAGATGGAGATGCACAAGATCCATGATCGGGACACGAAGATGCACCACATGAACCCCCAATTGCCCGAAGCTGGGCCCAAACTGCGGCCGTGCAGGGCTTGCCATTTCCCTGCAGCCACGTGGGCTGCCCGCGATTCCACGAAAACTTGTGCCTTGGCTCTGTTTTCGAAGATGCCTTACTTTAGCCCGATTCCTTCATGTCTCGATCTGACTTTCAGGACTGGGTATTGTGACGAGCACTACTTCTGCAGACTCTGGCGGGGCTTCTTAGACAACTTCCAAGAGGCCTGGCCCATGGAATGCTGGTGGCACATGCCAAAGACAGCACAAGCTGTGGCCGAGTCCTGCCCCAATCCACAAACTGCAACTGCTCGCCACGGGAGGCCCGCCGATACTTCGAGCTGGCGTTGATTTTCTTTGTGCAGGCAGCGGCCGACATCGACTCCAAAGGCCAGCATCCGGTTTGATTTTGGGTCGCAAGACCGCTGCAGATCCCTCCACGGGAGCAAAAGGAAAAGGCTTGACCTTCCCTGATACGACGCTGAGTGGGGAACAAAGGTCTGCTGCTGCTCATCCTGCTCTCCCTGTGCCTTGGCGACAAATTCGGCTAGCCTCGAAGCATCGCAGCTCTTGCGCGTCGCAGTGCCATGTCCTATGCAGCACCGGACAAGCGGGTTTCCCAGGTATCCAGTTCTGGTCTTCGGCCTGGCGGACGTGAGCGGCTTCTCCGTGTCCTGGCAGCGTTCCCAAACATCCCAACAAGGCAGAGGCACCCCCTTTCAACTCGCATGACTTGAGACAGTCTTTTTGTGCGTGAGATGTGTGCGATGGGTACAGTGCGTGTTTGAGGTCTCCTCGCTCTCTGCACTGTTGCTGGCTCTGCTTGTCGCCTCCTTCTCCTACGCCAGCTTCCGCTTTGACCAAATGCAACGCGCCACGCTGGAGTTGTCTCTGTCGCTGGAGGGCTTCTACTCGCAGGCGCGCCGACACGCCGCAGCAATGCAGCAATGGATGGTCGCGTTTTAAGGTTGCCTACTGCGTGTTCGCACAAGAGTTGGCTTTTCGCTGCTTGTCGATAGGGTCTGAGCAGGTGCTGGGGGAGGACGAGTGCATACGCCACGCCTCGCTGGTTTTCGGTGTGGCTGGGGACAGCTATCCTAGCGTTGACGAGGTGCGGCAGGAGCGCGATGCTAAGAACAACAAGCGCCCAAACCCAAACGCTCTACACCTATAGGTTAGCCTACCGCCGGTGACGCTGCTTCATATCTCAACTTCGGCTTATTTAGCGGCTTTATGTTGGGCTTAATTCTGTCTTGTTGGAGAAACGGCTGGAACGCTTAGTCACGTGCGAGAGCTCTCTGATGTCTTCCTTTTGGTGTTTCAGTTTTGATGTTTCTCTTGTGGCTTGCCGTCGCACGCGGCTGGATGGTGGCTGAATAGTCGGCGTGAGTGCTGCATTGTCTTAAGCCGTGCCTGCTTGCGCGAGCGTGCGAGTCAAAAAGCCTGTACACGCCTCCTACAACATCCTACAACTCAGATTTTTTCGGGCAACTTCACCTTTCAAGAAGTCATACAGCAACCGTAGCCCTCTGTAACCAGTAACCCCTGCAGTAATCCTGAATTCAATCCTTATAGAAACCCTTGTACCGAGCACCGGGATATCCAGTTCTTGCCATATAAGCCACGCATTCTGCAGGAGACGTGTGACCTGCTGCTTGCCTGAAGGCAGTGCTCTTCCATTCAAGGCCTGCGGTTTAGGGAAGCTTAGGCTCTAGTATATAGGGCAATTTATAGGGTTTTCTAAAGCAGCAATCACTAGCTGCAATCCTAGGAAGACCAACTTCCTGCGCGCGCAGCAGCACCTTCCCAGCTTCCAGTTGCTGGGCATTTTCTAAAGAGATGCGAGGGGTCCTGCGTTGTGGAAGCTCAAGCATGTTCTTGAGGAAAGCGGTGCAGAAAGTTGTGAGGGCTGTGGGCGCAGAAGACATGGAAGCACAGATCAAGTGCGGAGACGAGTCTTTTCTCGTCTCTGATGGGTGTGAAGGCACGGGGGAGCAACTGCCTTGCTCCTTCTACTATCGTGTCATCAGTAGAGCGCCTGAATCCGCCCTTGCAAGCCGTAAGAGTTTCTAGGGGCAGTGGACGTCCTGCACTGCGACATCTATTGCAACGACCTCCGGCACGTGCGGCAGACATGGAATGAGCTTAGCAGGCCCGAACAGCCCGGTGAGCTTGTGTGCGACGCTGGTCGCCCAACGCTTTCCCTGTTCATCTTTCGTCATGTCTCCCTTGTCTCAGGTGCTTCCACAGCGAGGAGGAGCCCATCTACATCGTTGCCTTACGAGATGGCTTTGCAGAAGAGGACGCTGCTTTGTTTGCCATCTGCGTGTTCTGCGTTTGTTTGGAGGGTGGGTCCTGATTGCTGCCGATTCAGCCCGAAGAGGACAGTCAGCGCAGGTGCTGTGAAGTCGTCCTTGGTATCGAGGGCCGCTGGCTGAGTGAGCCTGAACCATAATTGAGAGTGGCGATGTGAAGGTGCCATCTCTTCTTTTCGCTCTGCAGTGAGGCTATCTTGCCACCGTGCGGCTCTTGGAGAAGTCGTTGGCCAAGGCAGAACAGAAGCTTGCAGGCCTCTGCCGCGTTGCGAAGAAGTTTGGCCTTCTGGTCGAGTCCCGGCCTCGCACCGGGGGCCAGGATCGAAAAGGCCAGGCCAAGGCTGCAAAGAGTTCGGCCAGGCGGCCCTCCGTTTTCCTTACCGTCACCTTGGGCCTGGTAAGAGTCACGGCTCTTCTCTGCAGCGCCTACTTTGCAGCGCAGTATTTCCTTCGCCATGCGCCGCCAAACCTGCGCGAGACTCTGCCAGAACCCCTCCGTGAATTCCTGAGCCTCCACGTGTCCATGGACGAGGAGGACAGGTCCTGGTTCGACGTCGTTAGCCTGGCGCTTCCCTACGTCGTGCTCATCTTGGTGTTCAGTGGCTTGTCTGCAATCATGAAAACAAGTTTTGTGACAGGAAGACGCTCGAAGCTTTTCCCGACCACCATAATCGAAAGATTCCAGCGACTCAATCTGGGGAGGATTGTTGTGGAAAGCGTCAGTCTTCTGTTCCAGGTCACGACCTTGCCCGGTGCCGTCGCCAAAGGTCACGGAGGCCGCAGTTGCAGCGTGTGGTGGCATTGCAGGTGGTGGGAAGTAAGTGGGAGTTTCCGAAAATTGGAGGGGTACCTTATTTTGGGGTCCTTATAATATCTGATAATCGGGATCCTACTATTTAGGGTACTATATTAGTATTAGGGTCCCCTATTTTCGGAAACCCCCAAGTAGCACCGAGAAGGATGCCTCCGTGTGACCCGTTGTTTCTGAGTGCTGCTCTGCGGAGAGTGTCGTGTAATCACCCGTCAACCCCAAGAAGTATTGCCCTCGACAGTCCCGTTTCCAGATCATCTGCAAGAATTGAGCAGGCAATCTCGGGTTACAGGGGGGGGGGAAGGGCGCAGCGAATACCGGCGTTAGTTTTGACCTGTCCGGTTTATGAGTCACGTCACTGGAAGCAGTTTGGCAGACTATAGCAGACAACGGAGGCTGAAGCCTTCGCAGATCATCTTTGAGAGACACTTTGGAGTTCATGGCAACTGTTACGTGATCAAGGCCAGGCAGTTGTGTCGCAGCCCCCTGCCCTGCAATATTCTTGGTTTTCATGCCACTGATGTGATCTCAGTGCCGTGAAGGTCGCGCTGATGCAAGTACTGACTGTGCTCCTGCAAGCCTTCGGCAAGGTGCTCGCCCACCTTAAAAGCGGTTCAGAGAAAATCACAACAAGTGCAATACCCAACAAGAGCAATCCCCCAGGTGCAGCTCCTTGGAGGTACCGTCGCCTTCGGGATGTACCAGGATGTCCCTGCAGCTCAAGTGCTGAAGAAGCTCTTTTGGATCTTCTGGGCACTCCTGGCATTGAACAGCATCTACCCGAGCTTTCTCTTTGCGCGGCCCGATCTTCGATGCTGTCGCTATGGTCCCTTGGAAGCGAGTGGGATAGGGGAGAAGGGAGGGAACTGCGGGGCCGTGATAGAGAGGGAGTGAGGTGCCGCAGTCATGGATGTCGTGCTGGACCTGGGGTACAGCATTACCTACTTGTGTATGGTGGTTACTCGCCTGCAGCGTCGTGAGGGCTTGTTTGCTGTTCTGCAGAAGGCGATCGTGAGAGTGATGCGCGGCTCAGGTGACCGCCATGTCCGAGCTCACGTTGGAGACAAGCGTGAGTGGCAACTTCGGAGATGCGGCGGAGCTGGGCTTCAGAAACAGCCGCTTTGAGACTGGGAATGTGCACTTTTTCATTCCTCAGGGCAGATTGCATCATGTGTGACTGAATGCTGTGCAAACGAGGCATCAGCCCCGCCTTTGCCTTCCCGGCGGACATCCTGCCATACATGGCCGTGTACATGAGCCTGGCGCATATCTGCTGTGCCTGTCGCGCCGTCGAGCGGGCTAAGCAGCTGGGTGCGGAGGGCCCAGCGCAGCCTTCAGAGAAGATGGCTCCTGACATGCGCCGCTCTGCTCGTTCTGGCTTCTGGTTGGTGCGCTGTCTACAG